TCAGATTAATTTCTGATCTCATAATTTACAATAAATTGTTCCTAGCAGCAAAGGCATCAAGGATTTATCTTTGTTATTTGTACAAAGAAAGTAAGAAACAGACTTTTAAAAGTCTGCTACCTAATGTTAATAAACGTATTTTTGAAGTTTGACCGTAAAATCTGACTTGCAACTTGTAACTCAAAAGCAGATTCACATTTGTATAGTCAGACTGACTCATACAATTCTTCAGCTGGATGGATCAGAAGTTTAAAAAGGAGCACAGGGTATGAGTTTTTATGAGAAATATCCCACAAGATCGTTCTCAACAATGGGAACAGCTGATGGCCTGGGTACAACCACTGGGATTCTCCCAGGAGCAGTAACTTTACTGCACTGTGTACCTGAAAATGAACTATTTCTTCAGCCTTTGGCTGATTTTGTCCTCATAAGCGTATTTCTTGCCTCCTTCCCCCTCTCTCCATGCAAATAAAAAGTCTTGAGGCATTTTTGAGAGCAAACTACCAGAAAAAAAAAGCAATGCGAGTTTACACCTCGATTTACAGTGATCAGAACAAAATGAATACGTCCAATTCTAACCATCTGACAGGTAGAGACCACTCTGCAGCTCTGGTCAACAGGATATCATGTACCTTGTCTGTAGCTTAAAAAGCCATAAAAACACCTACATGATCACTTGATGTTATCAACTGCCCCACTACTGAATGGCACGCATTGAGAGCAATATTTAACAGGTTGTGGAATGCAGATGGCCATCCAAACTACCAAAACTGAAAGGGAAGCTCAGCTGGAATTAAAATATATTTTATTTATACACCCCCTTTCCCATCCTTCCTACTGTCAGATACTCTTTTCTAAGATCTAGGACTCTCTCAACCATCACAGTGTTCTCTAGGAAGTGATAAATATCTTCCCTAGACTGCTGCCTTCCAAACCCACTCAAAACTAGGGCAGGTGGTGTGTTGTGTTTCTCTGTCCTTTGACAAAAACCAGAAAACTAAAAGTTAAAATGATTCCCACCAGCACTGTAGACAGCACAAGCCAGTAATAGCCAGTTTAACCATGAATCAGAATCTCTGTCATCAGAAATTAAAAATACTTCAGTCGCATACCTTGATGCTCGATGGTGAAAAAAAAATGCACACATACATTTGTCACCAGAATTGCTATGGAAACCCTTTATTGTGCACCAGGGACTGGAAAATTTCAGGCTGTTACACCATCACATCCAGGGATGTGTCACATAAAGGAAAACAAGGATCTCATGAAAATAAATATCAATCATTAATACTTTGTCCATTTCTAATGCAGACATGGACAGCTGCCAAAGAGAAAGGACAAGCATCTGTGGAGCTGCTGTATCTCAAAGTCCAACACAGAGAGTGCTCATGCATGCTGACATGAGAGACAAAATATGTTGTGCCAGAGATAGGCCGGGAGAGGATACTGCCCTGAAGAAGGAAACAGTTGGCTGGCTGAGACGAAGTCACACCACAAGATCACCCTGCCCCACACTCACAGTCTTTAATAGTTTTAGTTCAGCAAGATTTTTTTTAAAGAACTGTTTTGTCTTCTTTCACCATAATATTAAAGGCATAGCTTCCAGTATTTACATAAACCTTATTTCTAAACAACAAAAAACGTTTAAAATAGCCAGCCTTCTCTCTTTACCCAGATAGTACATTTCTTACGGAATTAACATTAGACTAGATGCTAAACTTTGTTCTCTGACAAGCAGGAATACTTCCATTATTTAAAAAAGAGTAAGTATTGGCAGAATTTGATTGTATAGATTTAGTAGGAGAAGAACCCTTTCTGGTTCAAGCTAATTTAAATACATATTTATATTCCAAATAAGGAAAAGCAGATATCTTTTTGGGTCACTCAAGAGTCAGAATTTAATTTCAGCAAAAATATTACATATTTTATTACTTGCTCTTCTACAGAAGAACACAGCTTACATGGTATTTAAAGTAGCTTTCTTTTTAACAGAAAACCAAAATCATAAGAAGGAACTTTATTTTTCAAAAGATTAGGCTAGGAATTATTTAGTTTTTTTATTGTGGTCTATTCAGAGATACAACAGAACCATAAGCTTTTGTCTGAAGAAAAAAGAAAGGTGCCTGTAATAAGGCCTCTTGTTACTTAAAATGGGAAAATGTGAAGCAAAATTACCTTTTGTTAAGTATTTTTGAAGAAAATAAGCAGAAAAAAAATTTTAAATAAGAGGTTGTGCCTAGTAATTAGTTAGATGTCTGTTAGGTGAATTTAGTGTGTACTTTATAAAACCATACCGAAAAAGAATAGGAGTTAGTAGGACAGTGAGTATAGAAACAAGTTGAATTTATCCCTGATCTCAGCATGGACGTACATGGCTAGGACATCAGAAACTTTCTAAGTGCTTCTCCAATCAGCATAATAATTTTGTTCTTTGAAGCCAGGAAGACTTGACTTACCAACCAAACTGATCAATACTTAAAATTTTGAATTTCTTACGGATGCAGTTAACACCAGGTAAATTGCTGGCAATCATAATAGGCTGGAATTTCTGCATTACTTAATGACATGCCAAGGCATGATATTACCTGTATGTGAACAGATTCTGTTTTCTGTGATTTAATTTCTAAAAGTCTTGAGATTTTCAACCACACCTTCCAGTATTTAAAAGCCACCCCTTTCAATATTTAAAAAATGCTGTCTCACCAAGTTATCTGGATCTGAGTTTCAGTTTAAGGGGATAAACTTTCAGTTTAAGGGGATAAACTTCTAAATGCACAGCCTCCATGCAGTCGCCTGAGACGCACAGATGTCAACACTGGCTAGAAAGCAATTCAGCGGAATGGTTATCCGATTCAATAGCTGCCTATGGTCAGAATCTGGAATTAGGAGGCACGAATGTGTGCAGCTAGTGTCATGTGAGAGATTCCCTGGGTATCCAAGACAGCTGCCTGTGACTGACAGCTACAACCACAGTCCAACACAGACTCCAGCCCGTGTACATAAAACAGCCAGTGGCTAAGGCCAGAGACGCTGGATCAATTCACACAGCAACAAATGCCTGAATGCAAACAATGTAATTGAGCCCAAGAAGTTTAGCATGAGCTAAACAGGTTTCTAGGTGCGCTGAGTATTGACTTAATCTTCACTGACTGCAAGGAGTGCTTAGACACCTCATAGGTCAACACCTACACAACACAAGATTCTGGCTTTAGGCATCTTAATGTAAAGCTGAACATGACTGTGTTTCATGCCCTTATGTCTACCCCACCAGTGCTCTTAAAAGAATTACTCATGGACTCAATCAGCCAGTCGAAATGACTGAGTACACGCATACCCTGCTGATAAAATAAGAACATCTTGAGCTGAAAAGGAGGAAAAGGCATTACTAAGAATAATGGTACCTGTTGCTGAGGACAATGGTGATGACCCAGAAATGGACATTTCCACTGGGAGGAATTACTGAATTTAGCATGTAAGAATTCTCTCTTAAAACAATTTTGGGAACATTTTTAGAGGGCTTTTTCTTTGGTTTGCACCTCATTTCTATTACACTTGGGACTAGATTTCTCTGCCTTTCTGCCCTTGAAACAGCACTGAATGCTGCAATCTCCATGGTGGTTCCTTGCCTACAGCTACCCCAGGGCATTTCATGTAGAGATATGAGCTCCAAAGTCTGAGCAGCTGTTTACAAGCATTAGGCAAGAGACATTCTCTAAGCAACTGAAATGTGGGAGGTGGGAGTCCAAACCCAGAAGGAAAGGACATGGGTGACAGCACAAGTTAACATCAACTAGAAGGCAGCCCACAGGCTCAAGTGTCAGCCTCAGGTCCTCAAAAGAGCTTGTTCAGAGCTACAGTGCCACACAGAATTACAATCTCTCTCTTTACCAACCCCCAGCAGTTCACACATCAAGAGCCTATTGTGAAACCTAAGTGCCATGGGCAGTGGTCATCTCCAGTAACATATGGACTTCTTATACAATTCTATTAAACTGAGCCTGGCACTGCAAGGATACTGTGCATTCAGGCCAAGAGGTTTGAGGGTTTGTAAATCAATCTGTCTTTCAACAGAAAATGATGTTTAGAAACTGAAAAATCTAAAAGAAATGCTTGCTTCTCTTAATGAAAGTCTTAAAAAAATGCTAGACAATAAGGTGGTAAAGCTTTAACTTTCAATTATGATTCTGAACTATAAAAGGCCCTCATAGAAATCCTGGTTCGGGCAACTGATTTGTGCTAAGACAGTTCCTCAGACCAACGCTTACTTCCCACAAAGCATATGGAGCATACAAAAAGGCTGAGTTTCTCAACTGACTTCACTAAGTATGGCATTGGTATGGGCTTTGTAATTTTTATTTTTTATTTTTTCAAATTTCCTTGCTCTTCCATAATATTATAGCACTTAAATAATTCACATTTAATTTTTTCTATATGTAATGTTTCCTTTCTGCTGGTCTATTTCTCCCTTAGAAGTGAAGTTAGGTCCCTAGATTTCCACGTCTTTAATTACAGCCCACAATAAAAAGTTCTATGGTTCTTAAATAAAGCAGAACTAATTCAAAGCAGCGTATCTAATTAGTCAAAATAGCTAGCAGTGCAATATTTGAAATAACTGAGGGTTGCCTGGATTATAGCAACATTATTAGCATGTGATTAATAAGCAGTTGAAGTATTACATTTGCTACACATTTGCTAAGTTATTTTATCTTGCTTTAAAGTTTGGTGGCAAAGTTTCAAGTCACAGTTAGGAGATTTGCTCTATTCAGTATTATGTTGTTAACCCCACCATCTGGTCAGACAGCTGAGGGAACTCAACCATATGCAGGGGGCATATATTTCTCTCTTGGGAAATATTTTTCTTATAGAATTATGCAATGGTTACCAGTTTCTATCTTATTATAGTAGGATCAAAAATACAGTAAAATACTTTGCAGACAACCTGAGCTCAGTGGGCCCCATTTTTAACTGTTACTTTTGTAAGAAAATAAGATGGCACTTACTTGAGGACCAGGCTGACCCTGAAAAAAACCAAGAAAAACAAAAGATTATGGAACGTTATGACAAGGATGAACACCTTAAATAGTAGAAAATAGTTACAGTGCTCTCTAATAAGGAGCTAACAAAATACACAGTGACTGCATTGAAGTCAGATTTCGGACTCTTACGTTGATACTGAATTTGAGTGTTTCAATTAAAATGGAAGAAATTTCTTGCAACTAACTGATTCTAGAAATAAATTACAATAAGATATTAAAACTGCATTTGAGAAACTTCTTATATTAGATACTCATAACAATTTGGAAATGATAGGAAGACCTAATTGACAGTTCTCAAGTGAGAAAGAAGCCAGAGGTGCTGAGCTGATTCAGAAGAAGGTATGGGTTTTTTCTCTTTCATTTCTCTATTATGGCTCACCTTCATGCTTCAAGGAGATGCTAATTATTTACTATTACTGCTGATTGAATGAAAAAGTCTCAAAACTGGAGGAACACACTGCTGGACAAACAGTAGTCTTTTTGCCATTGCTACAGGCATCACAGTTTTAAGCAAGTACAAATAAGCATTTAAACCAGCAACTGCAAAAGGTTTGAGATGAGCTTTTGTCAGTCAATCCAAGAAGACAGCTGATACATTTCCTCTCTCTTATTTATCAACATCTCCGCTGCATCACTCCTGGACAAGTGGAGAGGCATCCTTTGCACACTGAGGAACTGTATTTCTTGCTGCTGCAAGCCCTTACAGAGTAGAATTCCTATCCCGAATTTCCCTAGACCAGAAAAGCCAGTGAAAGTAATGAATTATTTTAGTGCCCTTAATAGAAATTACTTGCATGAAGCAGAAGTATTTTAGCAAACAGTACTGTAGCTGTGACTATGAACAGCATGACCCAGACACTCAGCTCACACTGCAAGACAGAGAAAAAAAAATTGCATATTTCTCCTAAGAGAGAATTCTAAACGCCTAGTTTCATGAAAATTAAAATAATATTTCAGTTAAACTGAAATTATGATTCCTTTTGTTGACAGAAACTGAGCATGTAGCCACTTCAGCTGGAAGGTATTCCTACAGAGAGTTGAAACTTTTCTGTCTGAATATCAGGAAACACTTTTTTTACTGTTAACCAAGCACAGGAACATGGGAGATTGTGGAGTTTCCATTCTTGCAGACACTCAGAAACCATCTTGATGTGATCCCGGGCAAACTGCTCGAGATAGCTCTACTTGAGCAGAAAGGTTAGACCAGATGACCTCCAGAGGTCCCTTCCAACTTCAACCATCCTGTGATTCTGGGCGATTTTAGATGGAGTGGGGGGCGAAAACATTTCAACTGGAAATCATTATCAACAAGAAAACCAAATAATGAAATGTTTTTTATAGCAATTAATAAAAATTTTTGTGCCAATTAAAAACCACAATAAAATGGTATTTAAATTCACACAAAGGTTTTTAAATATTTTTAAAAATATATGGAATCACATTACAAGGGAATAATGGTAAAATACAGAATTACTGTGGCTATCTAATCTTTACACTGAGTGGAGCATAAAGTATTCCTTGTTGTGGATGCCGCAGTTTTCTATTCATTCCTTAGAACAAAACTGCACCATAGAGGATATTAAAAAACCCAAACTTACTGGCTGAGGTTCTCCAGTTCAAATATTAGGTAAAACTTTCTGAGCTGGTGAGCTCTATGAAGTTACACATCACACTGGCTAAATGAACATGACTGAGACTCTTCAGCACTCAGATTTTACCTCAATCTTCCCCTCACAGCAGGTTTTAAGCTATTTTATGTTATACCTGATCTTAAAATCATCAGGAATTGCTTATTGATGCAGTAATGGGCAGCCAGTACAATAAAATTGTATAAATTACCTAAACCGAGGTCTGTGCCTGCAAATCTTATACATGAAATTCATAATGCATCTGCTCACAAGAATATCTAAAGTTGCAATAGATTTTGACCAAATCATTAAAGGCTGTCTCCAACATATATATATATAAAAGGCAAAACTAAAATGAAGGTCTGAAATTACCAAAATATTTCAACACAGAGTTGATTTAAAGCAGTAGATGGCAAATAAACAGAATATAAGCATATATATTTTAACAATGAGATTTGAAAATCGACTTTTTTCTTTATCTAAGACATAAAGGTTGCTAAGTGTCCACATGGTACATGCTATATGTATGATACAAGAAACATATACACATAACACAAACATATCCTGAATTGATGGTTAGGTGAGGGCTGCAATCGTGCTCCCACAACAGTGTTTTCTACTCTCAATCTCAACAGCATCACTACTTTGCCTTTCTGGTACTGAGCATTCATAATTACCCTTTTTTCATGTCTCAAATACAGAAAATGCTGGGAAAAGAATTTTTATAGGACAATGGTTTTTCGTGTAAACAGAAAACTCTGAGATATCAGGAATAGCTGCATTTCTCTTAGTTTATATATGTGGCCAATATTACAATTATCCTGCATTTAGGTATAAATGCAGATGCTGAATACAAAAGTACTCACAGCAGGATGCTTTAAATCCCTTGGCTATTAGCTCCTTCAGCAAAAAAAAATTGTATTAGTGAATGATTTTCTGTTTTTTACAATGGTTCCCAATCCTTCAATATTTCTGAGCAATCTTGCCCTACTATCCACTGCAGTTACAGTAGAATTTTCCTTTCTCATAAGTGATCCACTAAGTGACACTACCCAGAGGGTGCGGCAAGCACTGAATTACGAAACTCATCAGCTCTTCTTACAAAAGTATGGGTACAAAAGCATCACAACACTCACATTTTAAATTGTAAAGGGTTATTTTCACACAACAGCAACTCAAAGTGTGGGATACAAAAAGGGCCTGTTAATTTTTCCTTCTCTCATTTTCCCATGTTGTGAAAAGGTCAGGAATAAAGCCCCTTGAGTCACTTTGGTGTTCATTAAAAAAACCCTCTAACATGAATTCCATCTGATACTATAACTCATTGGAGCAAGCTCAATCTCAGTTTATCTGCTTGTGTTCCAAAAACGGCCCCAGGACTGCTGAAATCAGTCTGGTTCATTGCTGCATAAATCACCCCCAGTTATTAATGGGTTAAAATGCTTTAGCTATAAGTCCTTCAAATTTTAGATAACCAACAGGGAGAAAATACTGTTCAAGACTGAAAAGCCAGCATTACTCTGATTTTTGTCTAATGAGTATCTCTTTATTCAAATCTGTTACATATTCTAAAATTGATTCACTGATTCTACATACCAACTAATTGCAGTCTCTGCACACATTTTGGGATCAGTCCCAATACCACTGGACTGATTAGGTACATTTTGGTGGCTACTGCTTTGAACCCTGGATTATTGCTCATATACTTGATTATCCCAACTGAATACTGCTGTTTTTTTAAATCTAAATTACTATAGTGGGTATAGCTGCATAATATGGTTTCAGTCAAATCTCCAGAACAATTTTCTCTTCTATATTCCTATTTACTAGCTTAATACAATATTTTGAGGCAAACAAAGGGATTTGGCAACCTATTCTAATTCCCATGATGGAAAGTCTTCTACTGTTGTGAATTATTCCCTTCCTAGCAATTGAACCTAATATTAGCAGCTGATATATAAATGATATTAAAACAAAAAGAAAATATCCATGGTGTAACTAAAGTCAACAGGTAAGTTATCAATCCCCTATAAGAGATTAAAAAAACCATATTGATTGCACATTGTAAACCTTACAGACAAGTTACTTAACAACAGAAAGAAATCTCAAGGAGCACAGGAAAGAAAAAGGAGAAAATGAAAGCTGACACTGCAAATTAACAAGTTGAGTTTGCAAAGGAAATGGGGCTTGTAGTAAGCAAAAGGATAGAAAAGCAAATAGGTATCCAGGGTATCAGTGAAAAAGGGTGCCCTGGGAAGGGAGAAAAGAGAGAGAAAGCAATAGCATAAGAAAGTGCCAAAACTAGATTTTCACAGCTTTTCCATGGTGTTAATCTTTAAAGAGCTGGGAACATAAACGTCCAAGCTCATACATTTAAACATAAAGCTACACAAATATACACACAAGTACAAATGCATTAACAAATGCATTGTATAAAATTAAATATTATTTCTAACTTAATTCAAGCAGCATCTATTGAGTATCTGGAATATCATACAAATGCATTTATTATGGGACATGAGGCTGTTCAGATTTAATTAGCCCACAATCCAGGCAGAGAAATTAAAACACAAAATTTAAGAATTTGTGAAACAAGGAAGAGTCACAGAAATGTAGTTAGAACTGATATCCTGCTGTTTGAAAGGCACCACCAAACTACCCTTGGACAGAGCACCCAAGGAGGAACATCTGTCTTCCAATCTAACTCACATAGAAAATTAGCTAATGCTAATGAACAGGAGGAGCTGAGCTGACCTCCATTTCTTTGCATAGGCATAAAAGACTGAAGTGACTTTTCAGCAACCTGTTGAAAATCCATGCAACTGGAGTTGAACTCAGTTATGCTGAAGGAAGCCAGTATTTGACTAACATACATTTCAGCATAAGTAATTTTAAAAAGCAAAGAGGGGAGTATGTGAAAGGCCTAAATTTCACTGGTTTTTAACAAATCACCTACCAGCTTTCCATCCATACCAATCGGACCCTGGGACAATCAAAAGTCAAAACAAAATGGAACAGTTAGATCAGAGGAACACTGAAGATGAAGGGAAAAAAACAGACTTGAGGAATACTGTGGACTTCAGAAGAGGAGTAAATCTGTGTCAACAGTTAAATGCAATACATTTTGAGAATGAAAGCAGAGAAAAGAAACAACAAAAGAAGCAAAAGACCTAAGACAGAATTAATAAAAACAGCATGGTGGGAAGTAGCCAGGCAATAGCTGGTGTTTAACAAAAGACAGGTTCAACATGCAATGAAGGAATTGTTAGTCTGGCAAATCACAGTGGTCCAACATAACCAAACATATGAAATAATGCATCTTGCTTGTGTATTTTTCATTAAATAACAGAAAGC